GGGAGGGGGTCAGTTCGCTTGTGGATGAACTGAAGGGGCAGGTACCCGCGGAGGAAGTGGAAGGGGATGGGGAGGGACCCCGATACTTCCCTGTAGATGCGGTTGTTTGCAGTGTCGGCGGTGGCGGGGCTGATGAATGGGATCATCCAGGGGATCGAGAGGCAGTTGCGCATGGCGGAGGATAGCGGGGTTATCAACCCGAACCAAGGCAAGGATGTGCAGATCCTCGCGCTGGAGACCAAGGGGGCAGAGTCCCTTGCCAAGGCCGTTGAGAGGGGGGAGCTCGTTTCGCTCAAGGGCGTTTCGTCCATGGCTACGTCGTTGGCTGCTCTACGGGTTGCGGAGAGGACGTTGCAGAATGTCCTGAACCCGCCGGCCGGTGTCAAGGTGCACAATCGCGTCATGGATGATGCCGAGGCGGCGAAGGGGGTGTTGAGGCTTGTCGATGAGCACCGGTTGCTGGTTGAATTGGCTTGCGGGGTGTGCGTGGAGGCTGTGGTGGCCGGTGGGCAGACCCAGGGCTTGACAGCTCATGCCAACACGGGACAGGTCGCTGATGAGCCGGTGGAATGGTCGTCGAAGCTGGCGCAGATCATTCCAGGATTCGGGCCGCAGAGTCGTGTGGTTGTGATTGTTTGTGGAGGCAGCAATATTTCTCTCGAGACGGCCGTAGAATACAGGGAGCGACTTAATAATGAATGGGGGACCGGCAATGAGTGAGGATATTTGCTTTGTAGAATAATAACTGGGAAATTTTTGGGCGCGCGGGAAAACTGGGGGGAAATATCTGGCGTTTTCTCTTCTCTGCTTTTGTGTTTCTTCCACTTTTTTTTTTTTTTTTTTTTTTTTTTTATGAGTTTTTAAAGCTGCTTGAGGCTAAAGGGGTTTAAAAAAAAAAAAGAAAGATAAAGTTGCAATGTCATTTTCGTCATTGACCGTAGTTCCGTTCCTCAGCTTAGAATACCGTGACTGACATTTTTCTTACCATTTGATTAGATGATTAGACGTAAGAAGACGTTTTTGGCTGCACCTCCCCTCCAGGTGAAAAACACCATCCAATCCCAACAGTTCGAGATTACACAGCAACCACTGGCCCCCTTTCAAGCATCCGAATCCTATAATCCCAGTAATTCTTGCGAATGGGATCATACTGATCCTTCAGCAACGTAAGCATCTTGACGGCATCCGCCTTCCGCTTCTCCTCCGTATCCTTCTCGTCTTCCGCCTCTTCCGCCTCTTCCGCATATACATCCGCCAGCCACTCCACAGCCAAGCTACTCTTAACCTGATACTTCACACCCCCATCAGCCTCCGCCTCCACCTCTTCCAAAATAAACTTCGATGCAAATCCTTCAAGTTCAGCCATTGATTTCCCAGCGGCTCTTAAAACACCCCGCGCATAGGCCCACGGACATCTATTCTCAGGAGCAAGGAGAATTTTGTTCTTGGCATATTCAATCTCAGCCATGATGAGGTCTTCATCCACGACGTCCAGGCTTCCCTTGTAGCCGCGCCTCTCGTCTATGCCCAGCGGCATTCCGCTATCGACGTCTCCTCGAGGTCCGAATTTGAGCATCCACCGGTGGTTCCAGGCGGAGTTGTTGCGGACATCTTTGTTGATGAGCGTTTCGACGTCTGCGAGCTCCTGTGGGTGGTCCCACAGCTTGAAGTGGCGGACGAGCCAGTGGCGGTATGTCCAGACGTGATAGTTCTTGGAGTCTAGGTCGAACATCTCCATGAGGAATTTTTGCTCTGTTGGTGGGAGTGTTGGGAAAAACTTTTCGTTTGATAATATGAGTTGGCGATGGTGCCTGGGATATATGTATTTAGCTAGAGGCATTGGGGTAGTTACAAAACAAGAAGAGGGGTGAAAATTAGTTGCTTCTACCGTTGCTTACCATATTTGATAATTCTTCAAATTCATCAGGGCAATCTTATTAACCCACTCGATCTCCTTATTGAGATCTTTCTCCAATGCAAAGAGTATCTTAGCTCTGTATAGCCTGAAAAAAGAACGATACTCATTAATAAACTAATGAGCTACAGAAAAAGTTTGAAGAATTGAAGTAAAAAACACACCCCACTCACCAAACCGTATAATGCGCCGGATTGATCAAAATCACATCCTCCGTTAACTCTATTGCGCGGTCTGACATCTCATTCGCCGCCATCAGAGCCCTGAGATATGAGGTTGCCTCTACATAGTTGGGTGAATAGGAAATGGTTGCCAGCGGATACGTCCCATTGCCATTCCCGCTCACACCGCCGCCTCCTTCCTGCTGCTGCGGGTTGTCGTTGTCATAGAAGTTTGACCCGTCATCCAGCGGAATGGGGGTGACGTCGGCCCAGGTTGGGGTGGAGTATTTGCCCATTTTTGAGGAGTTTAATTTTTTTTTTTTTTTTTTTTTTAAAAATAAAAATCGAGTAAAGGGGGATGAAGGAGATACAGGAGGTGCTGGAGGGGATTGTCTGATTTGCCTTTTAGGAATGGCTTAGGAGGCGGAAAGGGGGAAATGGTTGGTTTGGTGTGGAGGGGGTTGGCGGGGTAAAATTCGAGATTTGGATGATTGAAGCGCATGCAAGACTTGGTGATATAAAATGGAGGAATCAAGATGACTACTATCCCGCACTGTCTGAACGAGTATGTCATGCACGAGCTAGGGCGACGTCAAGCTTTTGCGTCTCTCCTTCTTCTTCTTCTTCTTCTTCTTCTTCTTCTTCTTCTTCTTCTTCTTCTTCTTCTTCTTCTTCAATATATATATCGTTTGGACGTTTTACAAGAAAGGTTTTGAGGAATCTCACTGAATAAAAGTAAATTGAGTTTCTAAAACCAAGTAAGTTTCTTTCAGACACGAACAATAGGTATATTCTTGGGCGGATCAAATAACCAGTGGCCCCCTATATAGATCTGTACAGGAACTACCAACGGGGCCATGCACAAATTCCAAGGAGCGATAGAGCAGTATAATTAATTGTATGTAGTCTGTCAATCGGGCAATTTTGAAGTTCGCTTGAAACTCTGGGGACAACAAAAGAAACCCGTGACTTGTATGTCCACGTGACTGTAATTAGACCTTGTGGTTTGTATCAAAACTACGTTCGGAAAGGTGCAGAAGGACGGGATGATATATGTTGATCCATTATAGTTGAATCAGAGGTGGTGTTAGAGAAATGGAATCAAATGGTATTTCATCTAACAAGATCCGAATACTAAGCAAGCCGGGAGCAGAAACTAGTTAAACACTCCGTGGAAACATTGAAGGATAATGAGAAGAATAATAAGGTAAAATGATGTGAAATAACGAAGAAAGGTAATGAAAAAGGTACGCCGGCTAACATGAAAGCATAATGCAGTATAAGTGTGGGGGTTCATTGGACGATTAGACGGATAGATGGGCAAGAAAATAATAAAATAAAATAAAATAAAATAAAAGGGGTAAAGAAAGATGATAAAAACATCACGGATTGCTCCCGTTGCCTTTTTTATGCGATCCCTTTTTCTTCTTTTGAATAATAATTAAACAAGGTGAGATGGAAACTGGATGACCGGAAAAGGGCGGTGAGAGCTTGAAGTTCGGAGCGTGTAGGGGAACTTGGACGTAAAGATGTTGGTGGGATATTTCGGGTATTGAGAGCTCATGTAGGGGGCAGTGTTTTGGCAATCGCGTAGTTAGGGAAGGGTGATTTAAGAGGCGATGAAGAAGATGGAATTCAGACCGGCTTGGCTTGTGTAGTAGAAGACAACGAGAGGGAAAGGGATATGTTCGAATTAAGGTTGGGTTATCAATGTCTTCGATAACGAGTGAAACGGGATAGAGGATTGCTGCAATTGTTGGTCCATTATTTCAATGACAAGACCTTGCCATTCAAGATACGACAGACAATATAATAAAAAGTTCCGCAAACCAATCATCCGTCGTCATCGTCGTCGTCGTCGTCGTCGTCGTAGTAGTAGTAGTAGTAGTAGTAGTAGTAGTAGTAGTAGGGTATACGAAAATTACGATTCCGCCTTTGTTCCGCGCTTCCAAAACTTCCAACCTTCCCGCCTCTCCTGCCCACCACCAACCCCAACCAGCCTCTCAATGCCCGCATTGCCAACCGCATTCTCGAATTTCCGCTGATCAATCTCCTCCCCGCCTTCTTCGTCGCTTCCATTCTTCAGCACGGCAGGCCACAGCACGCCAATGCCGTTTCCACCAAGTGTCGTCTCGTACCGCTCGAACCCTTCATCGTCCAGATTCTGCTCCAGGTGGTGCAACACGGCTTGATTGGTATTTGCTCGTAATAACACAATTGCGCACCCGCCCCCGCCGGCTCCGGTGAGTTTCGTCCACCCTATGCCGGCGTGGTCGACTAGTTCTCGAATCCGTTCGAGTCGCGGGTGCGATACACCTAGCGAGACGAGGAGGCCGTGATTGATGCGGAACAGCTCGCCAAAGTGATCGATGTCTTCGTTGGAATCTTTGTCAAAGCGGCCAGATTGGATGAAATTGTTTGCGCTTTCTGTGACCTGGTCGATGGCTGCGAGCGTTGACTCGGCCACTGCGGGATGGGCTTTGCAGAACCTGCCTACTTTCGCAACTTCAGTTGCGGTGGAGCGGGGCTGGCGTGAATTAACGAGGAGAAGGGGGAGTTCGGGGAAGTCGAGGATGGGAGTTACGGATGGTGGTTTGGAGTAATCGCCTCTTCTGAATATGACGGCTTTCCCACCGGCTGAGACGGTATTGTCCACGCCGCTGGGGTTGCCATGTATGCACATTTCGCCAACGAATGCCCATCGGTTTATTCGCTCAATCTGGACCTCCGCCTCCTCTGGCGGTTGGTCTTGATGGGGCCCCGCTAGGATCCGTATTTGTAAGAGAAGAGCAGCGCTAAGACAGACGGCGATACTAGCGCTGCTTCCTAGACCAGCGCCAATTGGAATCGTAGAACGGAGCGTATATATCGCTGCGTGAGAGTCTGGAGAGCTGAGGGAGAGGAAGAGGTAGAGGAAGGCGGTGGCGGAACTTCGGTGGATTTTTCGCACCTCATCCGGTTTGCCAATGGATATGTCTGCGATATGTGGCTGTATCGCCTCGAGGAGTTCGGGGTCAAGAGAGGTGACAGAGTCGTAGTAGAATTTTTTCTTAGAAGGCTGGCAGAACAGCGCCCAGGGAAGAGAATCGATGTTCCACGTATGATCCAACTCAATGTCTCTGAAGTTCAGCGTAATCGTGCGCTGCGATTTCGACAAGGTGGTAACGAGGAGGTAGGAGCGGAGGGAGATGGCGGCTGCCATGGCCCGTTTGCCATGGACGACTGCGTGTTCTCCAAAGACAATGACCTTGCCCGGTGCGGAGACCATGAATGCCGGCGCCATGGGCGAGGATGCCTTTCTTGACATCCTCACCCAGTTGCCAACACTTGTGCCGTCCTGTTGTTCAGCTGCGTGACCGTTCATCTCAGAGAGCGTAGGAGAAGGAGTTATCATGCCATCTGAACTTTGCGACGAATCCTCTTAGTGCTGTCGTTGCCGTTGGTTTTGGGTAGAGGAGATGTTATCGATCTTCGGTGTCGCGGGGAGGTCTCTGTCAAAGTTCTCTGTTAGAATGCTGGCAACCTTCCGCCACGCATTCGCCTTGGAATGTTTCATGCTCTCGCCCTTCCGTCGTGAAGCCTTATCCATCAGGGACAAGGATGTGTGCGGGTAGTACAAACCCCCTCTGCCCCTCTCACTTTTCACACTTCACAGTGCTTCGTCGAAGCTTGTTGAATGCGACGCAGACCTGCCAGTCACTCCACCATACCAGCAGTTTTTCAGGTAACAATGTATAGCGGGAGGGTCTAATTCGATGGTTCTGAATGTGGCTGGACAGATAGTACAGTGAGAATCGTAGCAATATAAAATTACATGGGAGACATTGGATGCCTGATCAGTTGCTTGCTGCGGTTGGGATTTTGTGCGACGGTCCCCTGAGTCCCTGACTAAAAAAACATAACGGGGTAACTAGTTAACGCTATTAGTTTACTGCTGTAAATAATACAGAGAGAATGCTCTGCGCCCAACAGCCCAGGTATGCTTTAACGGACTTTACACCAACTTTCTGGATCAACACCCGCTAACTGGAACACTTACTACTCATGTGATAAAAACTCTATTTGATAAGCCCTAATTGACTTGCTTGGCTTCACTGCACAAGGCCACCAGCCCTAGACACCAACAGAGCTTTCGACATTTTTAAATTGGCAGTGTTTTTGTTCGTACGACCGGTGATGTGACGATTTTTAGCCTTGTATAAGAAATATCATACAGTCTGGCCGCTCTTCACTGGCTTAATTACTGGTTTTGAATAGCTAAAGCAGCCAAAATAAGTTGATTTTCACTCTCACTCATATTCGCTGAATAAAAATGTTGAATATTACACCTGTAATCAAGGTTGAAGCTACATTGTTTTAATTGGTGCATACTAAATTAGACTATATCATGTGAGTAGGTGATTCCAGTTAGCGGTCCAGAAGGTGGAGAGAGTATGTTACTTGGGTGGAATTACAGGAACTCTGACTGGTCAATTTCGGTCAGAATAAAATACACAAAATGTATGTATGAGTGAGTGGCTGATAGTAATACGCTTGCGCAATTGTCAAGAAATTCCTCTGCTTCTTTCTCCTTCACTTAAACATACAACTGCATGGAAAGTACTCTGTAGTATCCGAGAATAGCCCCGTCATGGTCTAAATATTACACTCTGCATCGGGACCAGGATTAAAGTCAAAAAAAAAAAAATAATAATTTTTTTTTTTGAGGGAATATGGTAGGGAGGTGCAAACGCGCACCTGGATGTTCAATCATGAAGGGACAAAAACTTGCTTTACAATAAAGATGAGAATATTCGCCCATAGCGTCCAGATATCGATCTATGATCAGTATAAAAAAGGAACAAGACAAACCCCCCACATCCATATATATCAGCCAGGCATTGTCAAGGCCTGTAGCAACCGAAAGTTGTTGAACCATACGTTTCCTCCACCAAATGGCAAGAGACCAAGAAGCTTATATCACCCGAAAATGTCTCACCTGCGCTAACACCATTTGCAGATCATTAACTCCAACCATTGTATCATTATAACTATCAACTATAAAACAAAGAAATTGAACCAGTGGTATCAAGATCGTAACCCAGGGAAGAAGGCAGTTGCCGCCTTCGGTCCAAATATAACCAGGCTGAAAATTGGAAATATCAATGGTGAGGGGGAAAAATAAATTATTGATCATAGGTTCATCGTCACCGTCATACTATTGCTATGAACCAACAAACAAGGCGGAAGCCCATCACACATGAGCTCCAGATTGCTCACGTATGACTCACTGGCATCTGCATCGCGCCACGTCCCCTCTATCGGCGACGGCAACGTCGTAAACGTAACCGCCGTCCTCTTACTATGACGTTTTATCAACTCGTTCAGTATCAGATGCTGCGCGCGGCAGGGAAGATCGTTAAACGAGAGCGGAAGGGCCGTTTGCGATGGGTTGTCGCTAGTTGTCACGGAACCAGTCGAGTCGGAATCGGGTGTACTGACCCCCTTGGGCAGCGGTTGTTGTAGTGGTAGTTGTTTTTGTTGCTGCTGCTGCTGTTGTCTTGCGTATATCGATTCACGTGGCGCTGCTAGTGATAGACCGGTTGGGGAGCGGCCAGGAGGAGTGGTGGCGAACATTATTGAGGGGCCTGTGTCTTCTTTATCGGCGACGCGGGTGGTGGGGATTGGGGCTGACGAGAACTTCTTGCTTGAGGCTGTTCTGGGGATGGCAGGACGATTTCCGGGGGCAGATGTATTTTGTGGACTACCAGGGCCTGTTGTGATGATGACGGGTCCATGTCGATGGGATGGGGGACTTGTGGCGGCATTGGAGGAGTCAGAGTCATCTGTTGTAATAGCCTCTTCCGTGCTGGCTCGGGGTAAGGCATATTTCCTCTTAGATATTCTTCCCGTTTCCTCCAGGTGTGCCCGGGAAGGCCGTGATGTCCTAGATCCCGCTTCTCCATCGCTCTCGCTACAATACGTATCGATATCGCTATCGTCACTGGATAACTCCAAGCTGTCATCTGAATGATAGACCATTGAGTCTAACAAACGCTGCGTTTGCATACCAAGTCCGAATCCCATCGACCTGAAACTACCCAGAGATGCTTTCCTCTTAGAATTTTCAAGAAGTTTCCGCAGCCCGTCATATCGCGAGGCGCTACTTCTCTGACGTCCGTGCTGAAATGAAGAGGGTGGTGAGGTTGGCGACCTTCCTTTCCGTGGACTATTGAACCCTGAGCGATATCGACGAACGTCCTGCCACCAACCTTCGTCCTTTAATGCCAAGTCCACCGCTTCGATGGTCTTCTGGTCGATTCCTGACTCCTCGCCGTTAACAATTATCTGGTAAGACTTCAGATCGCCGCTAGCAAGCCAGAAGACAAGAACCTCGGCTTCGATTCGGAGCTTTTCAAGCAATGTTGTAACTCTTCTTCGTTCTTCTTCTACATCACTTTCATATTCCACAAAAACTGCCACTCGAAGGACATATGACTTCTTCCATGATGGCACCGTATTCAAAATGCACCCCAGCTGCAAAATCAGGGTATATGTATCAAAGTTCGTGGTTAGAAGATTTTGCTTGCTTGTACCATCAGCTGCTATTTCCGCGGACATTTGGATAGGCCACAAGTCGATATATTTCTTTGTATTACCGCGGTTTGAAGCTGGAAGCTCTAGTTCTTCAAACCCCTTAGCCACGGCGACATTTATTCGCAACTTGAACAGTAGATCGTCCAATATAGTAAGATAACTTTGAACGCTCATTTTAGGGTCATTTCTGCAAGGCTCGGCCCTTATACTATGAGTATTCGAAATTCCATTGTTGTTTTGAGGATGCTTGGCTTTTAAACCGGAATTGCGTCTCAATCGGGATGTGAACGGTACATCCGCAACCAACTGATTCTTGCGGAATTGATCGATTACGACGATATTCGGCCTCATGCCTCCTAGTCCGGAGTTGAGTACGATGTTCCTGACACCCCATTCCGAAGTAGGAGCAACAGATATGTTAATAAACGCCTTCACTCTGGAGTATTCGATAAATTTCGTCCACGAGGTTTGTTCCCGCCGTGCGTCAGGGACCGCGCTGGCAAAGTCGTCTGCGACGATGACATGCCCGAGGACGAACAGTCCACCTTTCTTCAACGAATTGCAAAAATGTATCATTTTGTACTGTGAGTCGAAATCGTTCACAAAGAGCAGAATTTGCGGGCGCCAAAATTTAACGTGTTCTGGTCGGAGGCGAAGAAGGTATTTGCGAACTTGGTGATAGATCAGACTCTGACTTACGTCGCCCCACGACTTGGGTGGCGTTGTATAATGGATAAGGAGAAATAGTAACACCAATATACACACGCAGCCAGACGCGTAGACCCCATCGACGAAAAACATGATGACACCACTGATGACGGTTCCAAGTAAGGCCGTCCACTGGTTAAAATAATGAAAAGACGGACGAAAGTTGGGAGCAGACCCGATTTTGAGCAAGAAACAGGCTAAGTTTGTCACCAAAAATGTCATGAGATAGGTCATCGTGATGAATGATGCAATTTGGTTGATATCAAATAGCATCGTAATCTGCGCGACGACGAAGGTGAAAAGAATAGCATTAGTAGGTTCATCATGTTTCGCTGTACCCTGGCCGAAAATGGACAATCCCGGGATGAGCGTATCTCGAGCTATGGCCTGAAGCAACTTTGCGGAGCCAATGACGCCCATTAAGGATGAAAAAAAGGATGTTGCAAATTCCCCGAGAAGGATGAGGATACCGGAGAAATTAGTCTAAAAAGGGGTCAATAAAATATCAAACCATGCTTAACATAGACGTGTTCAAAAACTGACATCTTGGATGATGTTCACATCGTTATATAAGGATTGACGTGTAATACTGGATGCCATGGCTAAAATCACAACAGTGTATGTGAAGAGCGTCACACCCAGCCCACACAAGGTCCCTTTTGGTATGGATTTGCTGGGATGCTTTAAATCGCCGGACATGCTCGCGCCACTATATGACAATAAATCAGCTCTTCAATTTTAGGAAATAATAGCCAAGGGAATAAGTGTGTTCATACGCAAATATGCCCCCGGTAGCAGGAAATAATATTCCGAATAAATCTTGAAACGTCTCTTGAGCTTTCATTTGACTCCCAGCAGCACCCTTCGTGAGCTTCGGCAAAAGGTTGTCAACAAATGTCTTCGAATTGAACCCAGTGAATTCAATTCCCAATACTTTATCTTTGAACGGCTCCATAGCAAGGGAAGAGATCGGAATGCTGAAAGTGGCAACCAATAAGATAACAAGAAGTCCATTGCTTGCACGGGCGAATATAGAGCTTCCAGCCAAGCATATTCCGGTACACAAGACGAGCACGATGGTTGCCCAAAGATAGGTCCACCAAAACCCTTCCAGCAAGAACTGGGACATTTTCCCGGATAAAGAGCCAAAGCTTTGGACAAGGCAGTTGATCAAACCGACAGCGTTCATTCCAGTATTGAGGACGAATCCTATATAAAATACGATTCCTATAGAACCACCAAATTCAGGTCCGAGGGACCTAGATATGAGGTAGTACGCGCCACCTCCGCGGACGGTTCCATTCGTTGCGATAGCTGAAATAGACATTGTCGTCAAGAGATTTATGAGATATGATGCCGCAAGCATTCCTGTTCAATTGGCTTAGTATTCATTTAATGACAAAAAGCAGTTCGTGAAAAAAAAAACATACCAAGAATACCCAAAACTCCGGCTTGGCCCAGAATAAACCCAAAACGAAGAAACATAAGTATACTCAACACATTTAACGTGGTGGGAACAAAAACACCTGAAAAGGTGCCCAACTTTCCGGAGCCATCTGATACGCCTGCCCTCTGATCACACTTCTCTTTTTTATCTAAAAACTCGATATTCCGAGGAATATGATGCGTGATGGACGTGCGCCTCATTAAAACGACGCTTGGACTTCTCTGCTGCTCCACATCTGCTTGGTTGGTCGTGTCATAAGTCTGTTCCTTTCCCCGACGCCTGAACAATCTGCCGGTAAACCCGCTGCCCCCGGGTTGAGGGGGGGAGGCAGACATTACTGGTTCATACGGTCTATCTGGAGCAAAGGATTGCGCACCAGCACTCTCGTTGGCCTGATTTTCTCCTCCAAACACTGCGCCAGCAGCTTCGGTCGATCGAGCAGCAAATACCGGTATTTTTCGTGGTAAACCATGACCAGCATCGCTGGTCTCGGCCATTTCGTGTGAGCCTGGGGCACACTATCGAAAGGGATGCTGCATTGTAAGAGCTGAATTCTGGTTGAGAAGGTGCTTATCTAGCTCTGCAGCAGAAAAGAGAACCTGACGGGAGAAGCCTATCTAGCTTTAAGGAGGACTGCCAGTAGTAGTGGTTGGAGAAAATTGGCCGATTGCATTTGAAGGTTCGGTAGGACTTCAATCAAAAAGATATGAAAAGATAAGTAAGCTCAAGACCACCGGTAGCTGAGGAGAAGAAAGAATCTCAAGCCCCCGATACAGTCTAAAGAGACGCTGTGGTTGTGAGCTGTCGATGGTAGATATTGTCGTTTGTTGACCGGCAACCCGCTACACGTGATCAGGCATATGTAGATTAGCTAGCTCTAACCATCCCACAGTTGAAGTCGGAAGATTACATAAGCTTGTTTGAGAGCAAAACTTCACCAATCAGCGGAGATATACCATTCAATCGAAGGTAACATTACGGCAAATATATGTTGAATGGAGTTGGAAGACGTAAGATTGCATGCGACAATACAGGACAAAATCTTGGATAAAAATCTACCTTGACAAGGTTGGTATGACGACATACCTTCGGCTGATGGTGAAAGTTTTATCCGAACTGATCTTGATGACTCAGCAGACCTTTATATCAATCATCTACCGGATCAAATCACCAAACGGATCAATCACCTTTCATCCAAATCATTCATGCTCATTAAAAAATTCAGTGTGCCAACCACTCTCACTAAAAAGGCTTCTAATCAGGAAGCCAGGCTTTTATTAGCCATTAAAACTTATAAAGCTCAGCAAATTTCAACAATTAGAGCTGCTGCTAAATTATATAACGTTCCCTATTCCTCCCTGGCCTATAGACTACGCGGTCGAATCACGTACGCGAATGCTCAATTAAAAAATCGAAAACTGACCTCTACGGAAGAAGGATCTCTAGTTCAATGGATAATCTCCATGGATGAGAGAGGACAGCCTCCCCGAATCGTGACTGTACGAGAAATGGCCAATCTACTACTGGAGGAGCGTGGATCCAGTGCTTCCACTCTCATAGGAGAATGTTGGGTCAATAGATTTATACAACGGCATCCTGAACTGGTTAGTTAGTTATCTAGTTAGTTAAGCAACTTGTTGGACCTCATCCATTGGAGGAAATTCAAGTTACTACGACCATTAAATAACATAGCTACTTTGCATCCCTAATAGAAAAATCTATGTATGTCACAAAATGCGGGGATGTAAGAGTTTGGTTGAAAAATTAATGTTTTTATGGGTTTCGAATTTTGTATGAGAGATGATTTTGTTAGCAGTCGCGGTTCGCAGGGTGGAGGGAAGGTCACAAATGTCGATATTGTCCACTGTATCTTTCCTCTTGGTGCCCCTTTTTACCATCATCACCTGCTTGGTTCCTTTGCTTCACAGCGCCAATTATGTTGGGCCTTAATACAGTACCTCTTATCAAAAGACCAAAATGCCTACCTACCTACCCTATAGAAGGGAGCCCAAATACTGTCTATATGATCAACGTGAACATAGATTTATTCAGCAGTGAAAATGAGAGCCGATGTCTACAGACAGCCAGGTCAGCCTCCGCTTCTTAGACTGCTGAAGATTCAATTGAGCTTGACTTTGCCAACCAAGCTGCAACAAATCCTCGGAAACTGCTGGAACGAGGCGTTACACTAGCATGGAGTTGCTAAGAAAAGATTCCCTGCGTTAGTGAATAAGATCCTGTGAGAGTTTGAGTTAATATTGGTGGCATGCTTGCCATTCAGCCATATTTTAGGTAGTTACAACAACGGGGCAATTTGGCCTTTCTCGCTCAAATCAACATTCAGGGGCCATCTAGGCTTGCTCACAACAATCAGACCCCTCGAACCCCGACTTTCCCATTCAATTGAAGAATTTAGAAGATAGCATAGCATAAACTATGCCTCTACAAATGACTTCTTGACCAGTGTTGCCAGACATGATGTTGGCTGTCTTGGCCTGGCCCAGTATCGGAATCATGACGCTTAGGGTCTCGGTGGTTTAGACAATCACGGCATTTTACCATTCCTGTTCCTTGATAGTTTTATGCATGATCTCGAAACCAGGGTACAGTCCAACGGGTTCCTTAGCCCGTGTGGTAGGACAAGGATATGGTGTTGGAACTGCCAATCCACATTGTATGACCACAAGTTCAGGCGCATTGTGCAGTGTGGTCCATCCTGCAAGTGCACATAGTATTTGTTTTAGCAGGAAGCCTGACATAAAGTTGATGGGCATGGCTGGACTTTTGCATAACAGCCACTGATGTGAATTGTAACTGACCTACCATTATACGGTCGAAAATCTAAGAGGGCCAGGAAATACATAGTTAGCCATGTAAAGTGATGCTATAAAAATCTTCATCACCAATGCTGTCAGCAGTGCTTCTCAAGCTGTAATTTATTACCCCGCAGTTAAACAGCAAAAGATGCTTCACGTGAAGCCCAATGAGACGTTCAAACGCAAAACAGTTGTCTTCCTGTGGACTGCAGAATAAGTTGGTTCCTTGTAACTTATTGATTAGGTTAAATGATGCGAATGAGGGGTGAGTAGTTAACTTCATACAAAAGATAAGAGCTCAGAGGGATCGATCACATGGACTTCAGATGATTTTCAACCTTGAAAACATATCTACTTAAATTATCGATCAAACTATCTTCTTTTTCAGAGATAGGATACAGTTAATGGGACAACTTTGGAAACATGGCTCAAGTCAACCTTCGTCCCCGATCTCCTGCCACACGTGACAGCGCCTACCCAAGCTCCATTAGGTCCTTGGTTCCCTTCGACCAAGACAGCCTTTCTAGATGATCATGGTAATAATAATCGAACCACAAGGATATTTAGACATAGCTCACTAACGCACTCTTCCGCACGTTAACCACCTTATCCAATTCTCTGTTAGCCCGTATATGGCCACAGCTCCGGGGTATATATTACGTCAAATCTATATTCTTAGTTATCCTATCTTCTAGTGACTCTCTTTCTCCCGTTTGATGGCTTTAGCTCTGCTTGTAAACAGGCCTTCATGACAACAGTAAATAAACTCCCTTTACACCATTTTTCGGGGAAATCTTCTTCCAGTTTTAGCTAAATATCAGCTCTCACGTTTTCTGGAAAATGTCGGAGAGTCCTGATAAATCTCCTTCGCAGTCCTCCACCCCTTCACAACGGCATGATTCTCCAGACACGTCGGCTCAATCTAGGTCTCCAGCAGCAGGGTCTCTCCCGCGACATATTGCAACCGCCCGACTTGCTTCACCAATCCCATCACCATTTGATGGCCAGGGCGCACCCTCTCGACCAAGCCAGCCCTCAAATCATCCTTCAAATAGGTTACTCTCCCTTGCTTCAGTGGATGATACAGCATCCCTCCCAGGTCCTGGTCCCTCTGCCCTAGCATCAGCACTGCAGCGGGATCCCATACAGAGACGTGCCTCCGGGACCACACCTCCCTTAACACACGGCGATTTATCCGCGTTGACCTCCGCGAAGTCAACTTATGGCTCGTTTGATGCTCGATCGGGCAGAGACGGTGGGCTGGATCAGGGCGGTGGGACGGTGGAAAACCCGGATATTGTGAGGAGGTATTTGGTTCAGCCGCAGCAGGATTCAGATATCCATGCCTCAGGGGCAGATTCAAACTCGTGGAGAAATGGGGGAGCAGATGAGGAGTTTTCCAGTCTACAGCTTCAAGGGGGTGATATCACGAGACCTATTTATAGATGGGCAGATGAATCAGCTGGGCATGGGATCAGTCGTAGGAAAAGTTTTGTTGTACCTCGACCGGAACCGGAGAGTGAGGTTATGGATATCAATTCCATTAAGGTACCTGGAGGATTCCGGAGAGACTTTCTTCGACGAACGGCTGCTCCTCAGGAATTAGATGGCACACATGCATCTGAGGAGGGTGAACAAAACCATGGCAGACCAGTTCTCCTAACCAACAATTTCTTGGAGTTTCTAACTCTCTATGGCCATTTCGCTGGAGAGGAGCTGGAAGAGGACGATGAGGCCCTTGAGCCTGATGAGTACTTCGCCCCTGACATATGGAATGGCCGGGAATCCATGACGGATGAACAAAGGCGATTACTAGAGGAAGAGGCTCCTCTTCTTGGAGAAGAAACCCCAGGAAAACGTCGCAAGCAACATAAAGATCGAGTCCACCCGGCCAACACCACCTCAACCGGAGCAATACTCCTCCTTTTGAAATCATTTGTAGGCACGGGTGTGCTTTTCCTCCCAAGAGCATTCATGAATGGAGGAATGCTATTCAGCTCTATCGTGCTGGTTTCAGTGTCTCTTCTAAGCTACTACTGTTTTATCCTACTTGTCAGTACCCGGATGAAAATACATGGCTCATTTGGTGACATTGGCGGCGTCTTGTACGGTAAACATATGCGACGGATCATCCTGGGTTCCATCGTCCTCAGCCAGCTCGGTTTCGTGTCTGCGTATATTGTCTTCGTATCTACGAACCTTCAAGCGTTCGTTTATGCCGTCAGCAAGTGCAAAACATTCCTCGACATCAAGTTCATAATCTTGATGCAGTTGGTGGTCTTCCTACCGTTTTCCTTCATCCGCGACATCAGCAAACTGGGTTTCACAGCCCTAATTGCAGATGTTTTCATCCTCCTTGGCATCATATATCTCTACATTTACGGCTTTGAGACCATTATCGATAACGGTGGCGTGTCCGACATCAAACCGTTCAACCGAGCAAGCTGGACCCTTTTCATCGGAACGGCCATTTTCACATACGAAGGAATCGGCCTAATCATACCCATCCAAGAATCCATGAAGAAACCCCAAAAGTTTCCCGGCGTTTTAGCCCTGGTGATGATTTTGATAACCACCGTCTTTCTCTCAATGGGCATACTGGGATACGCCGCCTTCGGCTCCAAGACCGAAACTGTCGTCCTTCTCAACCTGCCTCAAGATAACAAGATGGTCAATGGGATTCAATTCTTGTATTCCATTGCTATTCTCCTCAGTACACCACTCCAACTCTTCCCAGCCATCCGCATCTTAGAAAATGAGCTGTTCACCCGCAGTGGCAAATATAATCCGGGCATTAAATGGAAAAAGAACGGTTTCAGATCCTTTCTAGTTGTATTGTGCGCCCTCGTGGCATGGGGCGGCGCAGCAGATCTCGACAAGTTCGTTGCGCTTGTTGGTAGCTTTGCCTGTGTCCCGCTCGTTTATGTCTACCCTGTAAGTTCTCAAACCTCACTTTTCCCCATCGCCCACAACCCAAACCCACTTTTCCCTATTAATTATTCCGCTACAACTCCAATAAAATAAACGGACTTGGATTTTAACAAAATCTCAAAACAATAGCCAATGCTCCACCTCAAAGCGGTCTCGAGAACCAAACTCCAAAAAGTCGCAGATATAGGCCTCGCAGTCTTCGGCGTGATCGGATGCTTATACACCACTATTCTAACCATTTCAAACTGGGCCACCAGCGAATCTTCCGGACCTCCCCATGCTTGTTCCAGCTGAGGGCCAGAACATTACGAGCAAACTTGCGAGATATTCATTTTATACAATCCCCCCCCCCCCCCCCTTTTTTTTTTGGCAAGGTCTTCAAGTTAGATGTGGAAAACAGTCGTTAAAACCAATCTAATTAAACAAAAAGCCAATGGTGTGGCTCGTCAATCAAGACACTCACTCATGCACATAACACACTTAGACCTCACCGCAGGAATTATTATTCTCTTAGCACTCAGTTGACACCTTTCTAGCCGTTTACTTTGGGTACGAAGTGCGGTTATTATTATCTTTTCTGATGTCTGCATACATAAACATACAGTATAAATCATTGTTCCATAGTTTTCGGCATCCGTTTTATTTTGGTTCTTGGTTCTCATTATTTTCCATTCCTCATTTTTTTTTTCTTTTTTGGGGTAAACGACCTCTCAAATAATTTTTTTCTTTTTTTGGAAGTGATATACAGACATGGACAGAGCAGGGGCATAGAAGAAGAATGGACCCTTCCTAACCAACACCTCATTATTTTGCCGGTAGCAGCAATGTCAAATAGAATTGAATATTTTATAGGGGAGAATTTCCACACGTCTATATAATGCGGCCAGATGCGTGAGGGTGAATCAATGAAGAGAACTTGAGAAAGGTGTCTGCTTGAAGCAGGACAGAGGGGTGAGTGAAATGAAAAAAATTCTCCCCAGGCAGATAACAACATTTTGAGGATACATGCAAAAATTATGTAAAGGGGGGTTGATATGCAACCGGAATTTTGCCCACAACTGTTAGGGATCAGGTGAATCCCCATGGGATTGTAAACATACATCATGTATATACGTGCAACACACATATATGCACTGTGCACATATACGGATGGTATTTCCACAACAAGCAACTTTAAAAAAAATAAAAAATAAAAAATAAAAAATAAAAATTGAAGATTGGAATACAGAACCAAGTAATATTGTAAACCTTGTTTCCTTCTTTTTCATTAACCCATCCGTACTTACGACTTCTTATCCGCACCGGCGTTTGCCTGTTCCGCAGCTGGCACATTAAACTTCCCCGCTCTGATTGCCGTATCCCGCCCTCCCCAGCTAGAAAACACGGAAATCAGTCAAGTTGGTCCCCATAGTGCTAAACCAACAACAAAACGTCAAGCAAAGGAATCGAGTTTAAAACCAAAAAAAAGGTAAATAAAGAAAACAACATACTTCCACCAATTCAAATACCGATACCCCTGTGTCAGCTGGGCGCCGAAGTTTATGAAATGGCATGCGAAGAGCAGGTAGTTCTTGGGCGATACGGCGAGTGAGTAGCGCATGAATGTTCCCGAGTAGATTATGAGAGCGCCCGTCATTCGACCGGAGATGCTGGGGTATTTTTGTTAGGAATTTCCTGGAGAGGGTTTGGGGGTTTTTTTTTGTGCGGGCACGTTAAGAAGCGGGGTGGGGTTCGGGTTGCATGGAGAGGGAGCGGGATGGTCTGCGGGGTGATGATGTGTATAATGAATGGATATGGATGGACATACATTTCAGGATCTTTTTGGGTGTCCATGACGGCGGCGATGGGGATGCCGAAGTTTGAAGCTGGGCCCCAGAAATCTGTTGGTTTGGTGCGATTGTGGTTTCTTGTTGTTAGTCAATGTAGACTTTTTAATAAACGGGAACATGTATATTTATAATATAATGTTCTCCCAGAAAATATATGTACAGTAGAGATATCTGGTTGATGAGTGCAGCATGGTGCATTGTGCCCCGGCCTATCATATAGACCCATACAAGTAGGTTCATACAAAGTAGGCATGGGCTTGCTCTTTTGGGGAATGCGGTCGAGCAGTTTAAGCTTGTTGTAAGGAGATATGAGAGGGGATTAAAGGGAAAATTGGGTCAGGATTTAAACCCGCGTTTGTTTCTAAACTTACGCGTTGAGCAGAAGTAGTCAAGCACCTTGTTCGACCTTATCTTCGCATTGAGAGCTTTGACTGCGGCGGCCATCTTGTGTATTTGGTTCGGTTGGTGTATTGGAGGGGGGAGTGGACGGATAGGGCGGGAACAACGAGGATAGGAGAAGTCGTTCAAGAACTCAATAGACGAGGATGCTGTAAATGGTTGTCAAGTTTTATGTATGCTTGCTACCCGGTGGTTAATGTGTAATTGATCTTCTGAAGTTGCTACTCTATGATTGTTGAGTTCTAATTTTTCTAGGGATCAAGCTCTCGAACTGGCGGTCCTTTTGGGCCAGAGAGAGCGCGCTAACCATATTAGTAGTATACACTCGATCATGTGACGATGCGACAAGGCGACATTGGATAGAAGTTCATTCCACGACAGTCTAGCAATCAAGGAGACGGATATGAGACAGGGATGACAAACGGATGATATAGATTATCGGTTTGAATGTTTTTTTTTTGTTTTGTTTTTTTTTTTTTTTCTTTTGGCTGGTTGGTTGGCTAATTTAAATTAAATCTGTCTTGTTTTGACCAGTAATGTAAAATGAGAAGAGCTGCTCTCTGCTCTCTGCTTTCCGCTTTGTCTCAACAATGCATCCCAACTTCCATCCTTTGCCCAGCGCCCCAACGCCGAATTTGAAAAGTAGGACAAGTAGGAGAAGATTTTGTATAATAAAACGGAACAGACAGATTCAGATTTTCCGCCCATTAGTTGAAATCTGGGCTTTTGGCGGTGCTTTAGTATGGTTTCGTTCGTTGCTTGTTAAAAGTCGGATATCCGTGAGGAGCAGATTCCCTGTCTTCAATAAGCTTTCGGTGATTGGTCATCATCGTTCGTCCGGATGCGACGTCACAAATAGCTCTAAAACTCGTTTGACTTCATCGCCCTCCAAATCCGGGTGGCGGGAACCCTCGCCCTTGACCGGGAGGAGGCTGGAAGCCGGTTGGTGGTTGGAATCCTCCAGCTGCTCGCAGATGCAGTTAGCAAACGAAAGACTATATAGAGTAGAAAAATAGAAACAGAAATCAATAATATGAGAGCCGCTTACGAGGTGCGCCAGGTACACCAGCAGGACCACCAAATCCAGGAGGTGGTCCAAAACCAGCTACATTTCATATACATTAGTAAAACCAAGTTCCGGCCATCGTTAATCCAATAAAGTAAAAAGGGAATAAAACGCAAAACTTACGAGGCCCTCCAGGTGGTCCTCCTCTCCCAGGGAACCCTGGTGGAGGCGCCCCTGGAAATCCTGCGGGTGGGAACCCCCCAAAGCCTCCCGGAGGCGGTGGTCCGCCAACACCAGCTGCAGGCCCACCCAGGCCAACTGGCAACCCTCTTCCGGCCGGTCTACTAATTCCAGGCCCCGCAGCAAGGGTGGTCGGGCCAGCTCCCGACACGCTTGGCACAGTTGTTCCTAACCGCGCTGCGGGGTCTGCGGGCGGCGGTCCATCGACCGAGCAGGAGACGACGTGTGTTCCACGCACGATTGTGAGGCCCAGTGTTCGTTTCTCTTCAACTTCGACAAGGCTCGGGGTGCTAGAGCCAGGCGCTTGGGTGGTCTTTGTTGATTTTCTTTTCACGCGTCGGAATTCTTCTGTGTCTGCTAGGACGAGATTCATGTGCTGTGGGGTTTAGTTAGCGGATTGGGTGGATGGTACTTTTAATGTCCAATAGGAGGAAGAAGTAAGGGGTTGAAGAGAGGTACCTTGTCAAAGGCTAGCATTTGGCCTGTCATCTGTCGGCCGTCGTTTAAGGTTACTCTCATCCGGTAGTTGATCTGAATTTGATATGGCATGGTTAGCGCAAACCACCACCGGTATCGTAAGACCCCTGGGCATTTAGAGGAGGAAGACATACGAGGTTTTGCTACAAGCTGTTAGCTAATGGGCTCTCGGTCAACCAAAAGTGCATTGCGCCAGTTACTGCTTTGGGGGGGGGGGGGGGGGGGGGGGGAAGGGTGACTTACCATCTTGCCTTGTTTAATTGAAGCCATCTTGCTTCAGACGCGCACGAATGCGACTTCGAACCGGGGTGAAATGCGGAAGATACACAGCAATAGAACCAAACGGTTCAATTCCTGCAGCTATCAATATTTTCCTCAAAGACTTGCAAAACGTAACCTGTTGACAAGTTGAACAAAAGTGCAGTCCCCCTTGTTGTTGTTGTTGTTGTAGTAGTTGAAGTTGTTCCCAAGCTGTCGCATTCAACAAACATCTGCTTTCTTTTCATCGTTTTGGCTGAAGGTGAAGTCTGGATTTGGGTTGGCGTCGAGCTCGCTAAGTCAGCGCCAAGAACGCCAAGCCGCTAAGGGTTTGTCCCTCAATCCCACACAAAAGCACCACAATTAACTAACTGAGAGAGAAACCAGCTGCAACACCTGGGGCATTCCTCGCAGCATTTCAACAACGACAACTAACGACTGTCGACTGTCGAACTGTCCAGCTGCACACGTGTCGCCATGGTAAGTTTCAATGGGATCCGCTGGTTATGGGATTCGTTCTCCAGGTGGTTGCTGAGCGATTTAATATGATCTCTTCTTTGCTCACACAATGTGATACCCACAGGCCGAGGGAAAAAAATCCAACCCCATGCGGGAACTCCGCATCCAGAAACTCGTCCTCAACATCTCCGTGGGCGAATCTGGTGATAGACTCACCCGTGCTGCGAAGGTGCTGGAACAGCTGAGCGGTCAAACTCCCGTCTACAGTAAGAAACCCCTCGATATTCCCGATGAACCAACAATTCCGATACCCTCCTCCCCCCACCCCTTTCCAACTTGACTGCATTCAACGGGGATACACAGAGAATCTGACCGGGGTGGGTTTTGAACAATTTCTACAGGCAAGGCCAGATACACCGTCCGGACCTTCGGTATCCGCCGTAATGAAAAGATCGCCGTACACGTCACCGTCCGAGGCCCCAAGGCAGAGGAAATCCTCGAGCGCGGCCTCAAGGTAAAGGAATACGAATTGAGAAAGCAGAATTTCTCTGAAACTGGCAACTTCGGTTTTGGTATTAGCGAACATATCGATCTGGGAATTAAGTATGATCCTGGTATCGGTATTTATGGAATGGATTTCTACTGCTGCATGTGAGTTTGGCCTCCCTTTTCTTCATTTTGGACCTTCCCGGGTCGATGACTGTGGTGGCTGTGGTGGCTGTGATAGCATCCTACGTGATGCAGCTACGGAGGAGGAAAGAAGAGAGGGCATTATTATTGACGTGTTGTGAAATCATTCTTGTAGGACCCGACCTGGCGAACGTGTCGCGAAACGCAGACGATGCAAGTCCAAGATCGGCTCCAGCCACAAGATCAATCAGACAGAGACCATCAAATGGTTCAAGTCCCGCTTCGAGGGCATTGTCCGGTAAACGGGGACCCGGTTTTCTCTTGAAACTTACAAATTTCGTTAAAAAGCGAAAGGAAAGGGAAACAATGTGTGTTTTTATTTTATTTTATTTTTTTCCAGCGTCAGGTTTGGGCATGTTCTTGTCTCTTCATCATTTCCTTCTCCTTGTTCTTTATATTATAATGATGTAACTGAAAACGGGAAGGAAAAGAAATCCAAAGGGGAAAAGGGAGGTATCGTCCTCGCGTCTTAACCCCCGTTGTTTTCCTCCATCTCTCAACTTTTCTTCCCTACACAAAACCCCCCCATACATTACATATGCGATTCAATGACAAATGAAATTTTTCTCACTTGGCTCTAGGAAAGAAAAGAAGAAGCAATCACCTCTTTTCTTTTTTCTTTCTTTTTTTTTTGAATTATTCAACAATGGAGGCTTCACATAGGGTGTCGTTCCGCTTAACCATTGTTTCAAACAAAAAGAGATATTCTTGATTCTTTTGCTTTCTTTAACTCTTTCCTGGGGTGCGTCGAGTCGACCCTCAGGCGGCCTGATTTGAAGCGGGAAAAAGAATAGGCAGACCACATCCTGCCCTGGCTGATTCTGGCTACGTCAAAGCGAAGGGCCAGACAGCGGTGGGATTTGTCAGTTCTTTTTTTTTCTGCATATGTACCAACCTCGCCTTTTGGCTCTTACTTCTTTGGGAGATGTTTACCTGGTGGATTGAAATCTCTCCGCATATTATCTTTTATGGAAGAAAATAGTCGGAGGGCGAGGTTGAGAGCCCTTGAGTGGCTCTTTTCCCCTGGGGTGGGATACACATGCACTTGGTAACGGTGGCTGTGTGCTTTCACATATGACTCCAACATTTCCCGGCGTTACTGTATTGCCACGTGCTAGCTGGATGGATAGGTATGTGTCTTCTGGACGGTGAGTGCTCGGCTTCTAACAACTGAGCTTGTTAGACTTGTCAGCAGTGGTTCGTATGCTTGCATACATTTCTATGGAAAAGGGGTCGTTGAGTAGTGTCAGTATCGAGCGCGAGTAGCCAGCCAGGTAAGACGTGAATTGTATCTGTAGAAGGACAGTATGCGTTGTTGGTCCCCCCTCAAGAAACTTGCGGTGGAGGCCATTAAGTCCCTTGGTTTATCAGACGATAATTGAATTATTGACGAACTCTCGCACCCATGAGGTTGGGTTTGATACCTTAACAGCTTTGTCTAGTCATACCTTTAACAATCGATGTTAATAAGGGGGAGGGGTTTAATCATCCTTCCAGCTCATCTGGTGGCAAGGCATACATAGTTATTGCTGAATTTCTAATATTTGAATGGTCACAAATTGAGGGACCTCTCTACCCCTTTCAGGTCGTCAAGTGTGTGAGGTTTTGATGTGGAAACTTTCAGCGACATCGCAAAAATATTTCTGCGTATTTGTGTAATGACCGAGCCTCCGTCCATTTCCGAAAACACCCAACTCCAGATATTCAGGTTCTCTTTTTCTTTTTTCTTTTTTTTCTTTTTCTTTTTCTTTTTCTTTTTTTTTTTTTTTAAAAAAAAAAATACCTGCTACATGAATAGACCAAACCATATACGGCCGCTCCCCCCTGGGCCTTATTTTCCAGGCCATGCAGCACCGTTCAACGATCCAGCACAGTGAAATCCTCGAGAACAACGCCCTAAGTTTGAAGGCACAAATATCCTATATCAGGTTAACATGCATCACCATTCCAAAACGCTAAAGAGTCATTCTTTGTTTTTTTAATTTCTTTTCTGCATAGTTGCTGCGCCTGAACATTCTGGATTTTGTGGATTTTGAAGTCAAATCCACTTGAGGCAAATTACCTCATAAATCGTGGGATATGCTGTTCCCTATGTCTCACCATATATGTCCGCGATGTTGGAAATACCCATTCTTGTAGCTCGCTTGCCTGTCAGTTTAACTTCTGGCATAATCGAAGAGACCCAATTTCAAATTTCCTGTACAATGCAATAGCAAAGATGAAGGAAAAGGAGAACACAGTCGCATCAAAAGAAGGAAAATATCAGAAAATATTTTTCATGGCACTCCCCATCATTCTGCGTTGGCACATTCGAGAAAATCCAATCTTGCTCTCGTTATTGGTTGCGTTTCTTTTATCTTTCGTTTCCTTTCTCAAGCACGTTTTCCGCACTTGATGGTCGTTTCTTCTCTTGCTAGGTTAAAATCCAACGTGGGTTATTCGTCACTTGGTCTGGAGCCCTTGACGTAGCTATACAATTTGAGCAAAGAAAAAAAGAGTTAGCAGTGCAAAATCAGCCCGCCCGTGTCGCGGGATAGCCCAAAACTCCCATCACCCGGAAGACAGAATTAAAGCTGGGAACACCAAAACTCACCTATTCCACCAGCTCGAAAAAATCTTCCTCCTATCCGGTCCCGCTCCGACATTCTGTTCATGCCACTGCGCCCTTAGAGAGGCAGTGCTACCATCCCCCGCGTTCCTCTTTTGAAACGACAATGTTGAAAAGGATATATTAGTCCCGCTGACTGAGTTGCTTCTACGGAAGCTGTCGGCCCGAGGGGGACTGTGGGTTGCTTCATCACCAGCTGCGGATGCGGCGGGAGGGGGGGAGGGGTAGGGGGATGAGATTGGGTGGCTTGGGGAAGGGAACGGGAAGGATGTTGGGATTCCCGCTGAACTGGAATGGGGTGCTAGGGTTGCCCTTGTTGAGGGACTGGGGGGTGGGGAGGGAGTCTCTCCCATTGTGCTGCCGGGGGAGCTCGAGAGGGTGGAGCTTGTCGAGCCCTGTGGTTGACGGGTTCTTGTGAGATCTTGTTCTATTGGTTTATGGGGTTCCTGAGGCTTTGTATTTCTTCTTTTTTTCTCTGTGGCTTTTTTGACTTGGAAAATTCAAGGAGAGAAAGATGGGATGGAGGCTGCATGTAGGACACGTACCCGTCGCAGAGTTTCACTGGGAGACGAGGGGATATGTGGCCTTGTTGGCATATAGTAGAACGGAGGCCCGCCACGAACCCAGACAGGGGGACGGTCAGGACGGTCGCTAGGACGATTGCTGGTCATTTTTCACTGGTTGCTGTTTCGTCGCTATGATTTGCTGCACGATACGATGCTAAGAAGATATATGAGGTTAAATACCTACAGTTATGAAGTGTATCTATGGTGATGACAATAGGAGCTCTTACATCCGAGCAGGAGGCGAGGAAAGAGGGGAAGCTGTGGAAGCTTGGACGGAATAACTAACCAAATTCGCGATTGCGCTTAAAGTCGGGGAGGCTGTTCATAGGTATATTTACAAAGCGATACCTGGCTTTAGAACTGAAGGGAAAAAGTGCTATCAGTAGCTTATGGTGTTGAATCCGTTCAAGAGGCGTTGTGAGCTAGGTAGGTAAGCAGCTGCTGAACGATATACTGACAGCATACTCCGTAATGAACCTAGATGTATTCGATACATTTAAATTTACAAGCTTGCCTCCGCGCAGATATACGAATAACCCTTTGGATCATGAATAGGTATCCCCAGGTAGAGGTACAATACGTACATAGCCAGCTTCAATCACTCCCACTCGCTGACGTCATCGTTCCTCGGTTTAAAGTTTGCTCATCTTCCAAGCTCGTTTGGATGCAATTTTCTATCTAATGGAGTATACTCACAACCACCTTTTTCGAGCTCAATTCAGCATTGCTTGTTTCTGAGCTTTTGTCATGAATTCAACTCCCAACATCATCAATATCAAGTCTCGTATCTTTGCCCATACGAGCAGCTCTCGGGAACCCCTCAAAGACGATGCTGTACTATCTCCAATATCTTTTCTTCCATCTAATGTCAGATCATTTCTTTGAGGGTCAATTGGGGAAGGAGGACACCATCTACCGTGGTGAAGCAGAGTTCGATGATAAGAGGTTCTGATCTCACGGCGAGAGAAGTCCAAAATCTCACGTACAATCGCTGGCAGACCGAGGAGCCCCGTTATTGTGGTACTGCGTTGCATCATGATCAGAAATCATGACACCAGTCAGGGAATAGGCACATGCTGGATAAATGCACACACATACCACTTTCAAGACCTGTGACTCGCCACAGTAGATGACATCAAATGTGGAGGAAGCTTCAGCGATGTATAGGGTTTCCTCGACCTCCACCTTCGCGAAAATTGATGTACAGCTGCAGGTTTTGAGATCCGAATGATTTACAATTTGTGATGCTGGTGTTGTGCTTAATTTCTATGGTGATTTTGAGAGGGTTGTCTGTGTTGATTCTGATGTTATGATTATTTATCCCAATGACACATATATTGGAGAGAAGGAATGTGCCCGGATTTAGTTTGGAACTAAGGTTGTTGAAAGCTGAAGTTCGGACAGCTTCTTATTTTCTTTCCCAAGGGACTCCTTGTTTTCCTTTTCCTGATTTAACGGAGTCTCACAAGCTTCATAGGAAAATATCAGGAAAAAAAAAAGGCCTGCCAGCAAACATAAAATACTACTAAGAACGGCTCCTTGGTACCCAACACAGAGACAGAGAGACAGACCACATCTGAAAGCCTGCAGTCAATGTCCGTCGCGCATAACATCCCAAGGTAGAGAAGTCCAAGCAGAATAGCCCAACTACCAGGGCCCTTTTCTCCCCTGGTATTCATGTGCACTAGCGGGTAGTGATTTTCATAAAAGTGTCTTAATTTTGGTACCAACTCAAGTCCCTGACAAAACCGTAGTCACCGAGTACAATGCTGTCTCGTGCAGTAGTTTACCTGGAACAGGACTTGCAGATCTTCTCCTAACAAATCAATGAGGTTCTGTACCCGGATCCCCACTTCCGTAATGCTTTATATCATAAGAGCAACGATTTGAAGAGGAATTCATTGCGCTGCCAGTTTGGAAGTACTCAACGTCTGGTCGGTAGATGTTGATGATAGTTGCTCCCGTCACCATATATCTATCTATCCACTGTTATAAGAGAAAGATGCAGATATGCAAACTGAGGGGATGAGCCGACTCATTACACACGAAGCAATTGACTCTGGACGAAGTTGTTGAAACAGAGAGCAAGCATCGGCTCAGTGATTCTTATGTTGCGGAGGGGGTTTTGACACGTTCAATTTTGGCGCATCCTTTCGCATAGTTCACTAACTACATACGAAATGCATTAGGTCAGGTGCACGCCCACATTTTGCTACAGTTAACTATTTATTCAACGCCCAACTAACCCATTTGTATGTGGTGTGCCATTTTCAGTCCCCATTGAAAATTATACCTGTATTGGAGTCTGGATTGGGATCTATCGCGGCAAGACAAATGAGGGGCTCATTAACTAAGGTAGAGTTTAATAACGAGATGAACTTTTGGTGGGGGCAGTTAGTTAACTACGGTTAGCCAGCTTGAACAAATCTGACATATATATCGCCAATGGCATTGTGCTTCTTGTCCCTAGATGGTTGGAGATTCGCACGTCGCCCATTGTTATTACGCTGTTCTGGACTTGATACAGACTGTAGAAAGCGGGGTTCTATGGGTTGTGTTCTTCCAGTCGCGTGGAATAACCATCTCAATCTTCCTTGAAAACTCAAAGCTGCTCATTAGCTTCAACATATGAACCTTGTTGATGAACATAATTTTCTTTTTCCGAGGCCAGCAAACCTAAACTTTGAGGATTTTGCTCAGACGAATTGGTGTCAACCATAGCAAAACCAGTAAAGTGCACCCGAGACCCGAGGTTTGCTGGAACCACAAGTTCCAGGGCGGAAAAGTAGGAGGAATAGAGTTGCTGAGACGGAACCTTTAAATTTTTTACTTTCTTTCTAGATAAGATCTCGGGAAGATGCAGCGGGTATTTTCGTTTCGGGATTGTCTTAGCTGTCCTTTATTTTTGGTGCCTGGGGGATTTAACCAGTGTCCAGTCTGCCCCATAACTAGTAGTTAACTACGTATGATGTTGAGCTAACTAAAGTAGCCAGCCCACGGAGAAAGCTGATTCGATTTTCCATATCTAGCTTGCCTGCGATAGCTAACTAACGGACTATCCAGTTATATGAAGGCCTGATTGAAGAGGCGGGTCAGTAGGTTCTTCTGAGTATCTAGAGCTGCGGTTGAGACAAGTCTTATAAAGGGGGGGTTTGGTAGATACTGCCCTTTGGTATATATAGCTAGTCATTCTCGCCGCACCCCATTAGCAGGTTTTATATACTCCGTAAGCCACGATAGAAGCGTCTCATAACTTCAGCCATTGTATTCCTGTATATTCCGAGGATAGCCATTTTGACTGCAGCAAGTTTCCACCCCGGAGCCCCATGATGGATGGAGATATCCTTGCCAGTGAAATACGTAGCTGATAAAATAAATAGCATGAATTTCGTCATCCGTTGCCTTTGCATATGCACCAACAAGGTAGAGCTCCTGAGTTCCCCCAGAGAAAGCTCCTAAGACTCCCGAAGTGGGAAATATCGGAAGGATGCTGACATGGTTGCATGTGGTAGTTAGTTAACTCGCAGATTGATTGAGATGCCATGATATGATATTGCCCATAGCAGTTGGCCAGCTCTTTAAGTTGTAGTTCTTTGACGGCTGGGAAATAGTTGTTTGTGTCTCCAACTATTCCTCGCCCAATCATCTGTGTGGAGCGAGTCTTCCCATTTCCTCCTCAGTGGGCGCCATTGAGCATCTCCGGTGGTAACTCACAGTTAACCTAACTAGTTAGTTATGTTCTCTTTATTTCTGTGTTCCGCCTGAACCGTCGCTGCAAAGAGCTTCCATCCATGCAGCTCAGACCAAGGTTCATTCTGTGACTAAGAATAGTTAAACCACCTGTTCAGAACTCGCTGGAAGTTAACTGCTTGTTCGTTACACTGGCCCCCCGAAGGTCGTCGTCCCCGCCGGCTTAAACCGTCTATATTAATTCAAACCCCGCCGTCAATTGCCTACGCCGCCAACATCTGCTCCCAGCTCTTGTGCTGTACCGTTGTGACATCTGCCTTATTTCAGTCCAGCTTCATCTCTGCATCTCTTCAATCTCTTGCAATTGATGGGTGTAGTTGTCTGCTCTCTTCGGCCCTCCATACAACCTGGTACTTGTGCCTGTTTCCCTGGCGATACCGCGGTCCCCATTTGCCCCCCCACTAATTTCCACCTCTCAATCCGACTTGCAACTTTCCTTCCACCTTGCTTGCGTGGCCTTTAAAAGGGGGAACAGTTTTCATCTTCAATCCCATATATTTTGTCTAACAGATTCTATTCATATAATTTTTTTTTTTAATTTTCTATTTTATACTGGCGTAACTACAATCTGGCGCAATAGTGCAGAAAATCCGATCTGTTAAACCCAAGGGTCCGGGCTAGAACAACCTCTCCTACCTCTCCTCCAACCCCCAACCACCCAGTTCCCTCCACCCGACTATCGCGACTATTTTCATAGAAAGGAAGTGCTTAGGAAATTGCAATGACGACTTTTCTCCCTCCATATGTAGCGCCTGAACAGGCCGTGGACGACCAGGTGGAAGACCACAGCCACCACCCTGCCCACCACTCAGTCCACAGACGCCTTCGCGCCAGCTCAACCATCATGCATTTCACCAAGATTCTCGTGGCCAACCGTGGAGAAATCCCCATTCGCATCTTCCGTACCGCTCACGAGCTCTCCCTCCAGACCGTCGCCGTCTACAGCTACGAGGACAGACTGAGCATGCATCGCCAAAAGGCCGATGAGGCCTACGTTATTGGCAAGAGGGGCCAATTCACCCCCGTCGGAGCCTACCTTGCTGGTGATGAGATTATCAGGATCGCTGTTCAGCATGGTGTTCAACTTGTTCACCCTGGCTACGGCTTCTTGTCGGAAAATGCAGAGTTCGCGCGAAACGTTGAGAAAGCGGGGCTGGTGTTTGTGGGCCCAACCCCGGACACTATTGATGCTCTGGGTGATAAGGTTTCTGCGCGACGTCTAGCCGTCAAATGCGGTGTCCCTGTCGTCCCAGGTACACCTGGCCCCGTTGGGAGGTTCGAGGAGGTCAAGGCATTCACGGATGAGTATGGCTTTCCCATCATCATCAAGGCGGCCTTTGGTGGTGGCGGGCGCGGTATGCGAGTGGTCAGAGACCAGGAGAGTCTACGTGACTCCTTTGAGCGCGCGACTTCAGAAGCCAAGGCCGCCTTCGGCAACGGAACCGTCTTCGTGGAACGCTTTTTGGATAAGCCAAAGCACATCGAGGTGCAGCTGTTAGGTGATAACCATGGCAATATCGTCCACTTGTACGAGCGTGATTGCAGCGTCCAACGTCGTCATCAGAAAGTTGTCGAGATTGCGCCCGCCAAGGATTTACCCGTCGAGGTACGCGATAGCATTCTGGCTGATGCGGTGAAGCTTGCCAAGTCGGTTAACTACCGCAATGCGGGCACGGCGGAGTTCCTTGTTGACCAGCAGAACCGCTATTACTTCATCGAAATCAACCCTCGTATCCAGGTCGAGCATACCATCACTGAGGAAATCACTGGTATTGATATCGTTGCCGCCCAGATTCAGATCGCTGCCGGTGCCTCTCTCGAACAGCTGGGCTTGACGCAGGAGCGCATCTCAACCCGCGGTTTCGCTATCCAATGCCGTATCACCACTGAAGACCCCACGAAGGGTTTCCAGCCCGACACAGGTAAGATCGAAGTGTACCGTTCCTCCGGCGGCAACGGAGTGCGTCTCGATGGCGGCAATGGCTTCGCCGGTGCCATAATCACTCCGCACTACGATTCTATGTTGGTCAAGTGCACATGTCGTGGCTCTACGTATGAGATTGTACGACGCAAGATGTTGCGCGCCCTCATTGAGTTCCGCATTCGTGGAGTCAAGACTAACATTCCATTCTTGGCTTCCGTTCTGACACACCCTACCTTCATCGATGGAAATTGCTGGACCACTTTCATCGACGACTCCCCCGAGCTTTTCTCTATGATTGGCAGCCAGAATCGTGCGCAGAAATTGCTTGCGTATCTGGGTGACGTGGCTGTTAATGGGAGCAGGATTAAGGGACAGATTGGCGAGCCTAAGTTCAAGGGTGAGATTAGCATGCCTATCATGGTTGATGAGAGCGGTAATCCCGTGGATGTTACGGTTCCTTGTACGCATGGGTGGAAAATGATTATTGATGAGCAGGGCCCTGCTGCTTTCGCCAAGGCTGTTCGCGCGAATAACGGCTGCTTGATCATGGATACTACATGGAGAGATGCACATCAGTCTTTGCTGGCTACCCGTGTGCGGACGGTGGATTTGTTGAACATTGCCAAGGAGACGAGCTATGCATATTGCAATGCTTACAGCTTGGAATGTTGGGGTGGTGCTACTTTTGACGTGGCAATGAGATTCCTTTATGAGGATCCGTGGGATCGTCTGAGGAAACTGAGGAAGGCTGTGCCTAACGTTCCCTTCCAGATGTTGCTGCGTGGGGCAAATGGTGTTGCGTACTCTTCGTAAGTTGGACAGCTTCCAATGTCTCTCCTCTGGTGATTTTGCTAACATGTATCTAGGCTGCCTGATAATGCCATCTACCATTTCTGCAAGCAGGCCAAGAAATACGGCGTGGACATCTTCCGCGTATTTGATGCACTCAATGATATCGATCAACTCGAGGTTGGCATGAAGGCCGTCGCAGCTGCTGGTGGTGTCATTGAAGCTACCATCTGCTACAGCGGTGACATGTTGAATCCCCACAAGAAATACAACTTGGATTATTACCTCAGCCTGGTGGACAAGGTCGTTAAAATCGGAACCCATGTTCTGGGGATCAAAGATATGGCTGGCGTCCTGAAGCCTCAAGCTGCCACACTCCTGATCGGAGCGATCCGTAAACGATACCCAGACCTCCCTATCCACGTACACACCCATGACTCCGCCGGTACCGGCGTTGCATCCATGGTCGCCTGTGCACAGGCAGGTGCTGATGCCGTCGACGCCGCTACAGACAGCATGTCCGGCATGACCTCCCAACCTAGCGTTGGCGCCATACTCGCCTCTCTCGAAGGCACGGACCTTGATCCAAAACTTAACATCCGCAACGTGCGCGCCATAGACTCCTACTGGGCTCAACTCCGCCTCCTCTACTCACCCTTCGAAGCTGGCCTGACTGGTCCAGACCCAGAAGTCTACGATCATGAAATCCCCGGCGGGCAACTTACCAACCTGATCTTCCAAGCCCATCAGCTTGGTCTTGGAGCTCAATGGGCTGAGACGAAGAAGGCATATGAGCAAGCTAACGATTTACTTGGCGACATCGTGAAAGTTACTCCTACATCGAAGGTCGTCGGTGACCTTGCTCAATTCATGGTTTCCAACAAACTGACCCCCGACGACGTCGTCGCCCGCGCAGGAGAGCTCGACTTCCCCGGCTCCGTCCTTGAGTTCTTCGAGGGCCTCATGGGTCAGCCATACGGCGGGTTTCCCGAACCACTCCGCTCCCGCGCCCTCCGAAATCGCCGTAAGCTCAACAGTCGTCCCGGCCTGCATCTCGAACCGCTCGACCTTGCCAAGATCAAAGCGAACCTTCTCGAGCAATTCGGCACAGCCACCGAATGTGACGTGGCTAGCTACGCCATGTACCCCAAAGTCTTCGAAGATTATCGCAAATTCGTCGCGAAGTACGGTGACCTCTCCGTCCTGCCTACGAAATACTTCCTTGCCCGCCCGGAAATCGGGGAGGAGTTTGCCGTCGAGCTTGAGCAGGGTAAAGTGCTCATTCTCAAGTTGCTTGCCGTGGGACCGCTGTCGGAGCAGACTGGTCAGCGGGAGGTGTTCTATGAAATGAATGGGGAGGTTAGGCAGGTGACCGTCGATGACAATATGGCTGCGGTTGACGATACAAGTCGGGTCAAGGTGGATTTGAGTGATAGTAGTCAAGTTGGCGCACCAATGAGTGGGGTTGTTGTGGAGATTCGGGTACATGATGGGTTGGAAGTTAAGAAGGGTGATCCGTTGGCTGTCTTGAGTGCGATGAAGATGGTAAGTTTATACTGGTTTTCCTCTTTTGCTTTCTTTTTGCCCTAACTATAAGGACCATTGCTGACTTTTTCTTTCTTTTTTCTTCCGTTGCAGGAAATGGTTATCTCTGCACCCCATCATGGTGTTGTATCAAGTTTGCTGGTTAAAGAGGGAGATTCTGTCGATGGACAGGATCTTATCTGTAAGATTATCAAGGCTACTTGATGGGGCTGATAGTTTCAATAGAGAAGTGGCTTTTTACTTTACCTATATATGTATACACATTGTCATGAGATTGCCTTTTTCCTTTCTCCTGTCTGCCTGTTGTTAACCTGGTTCGTGCCATTCATGTCTCTAGCTTTTACCCTGTTGTATTTTCCTTTTTATTTTTCTTTTACTTTGATTAATACTCGTACGACATTCAACACTCTTACATGTATACACATATCTCTTTACATCTTTATCTTTGCGTTGAGTTAGGCTAGTTAGTCTTCACTAATGATTAATTTCCTCTACAAAAGGAATTGAAAAATGTGTATGTAATGTTTATTCGTCGACAGTTTCTGTTCGGTTGACCGGTATTATTATGCTTATCCATTTTTTCTATGTAAAAGATATAAATTTTAGGTCTTTCGTATTCTTTTCTCTATCGTTAAGCATACATGGAGATTGTATAATTAAGAGTTCATTAAAGCAGTTGAAATAGCCTTCTCAGCCTCAACCCCCTAGGTCACGTGGACTTGGGGTTAGCGCAGAACTTTAATTTATGCTTCCAGTTCATACAAAAAAGTCAACAACATCAACTCCTAGAATATCGAGAGAGCGGCGATTGACCGTTACAAGGCTGTCTAGAAATATCAACAGCAGGATATAGCCCCACCTACCTCGCTCTTCTGGTAAACAATACCTAATAGAACTGAATATATACCACCAGTCTTTACCATTTCGTCGGGCTTGAAAATAACGAACAAACCAAAACACTCCTCTTCCTGTAGCAACACCTACACCTTTTCCTCTCAATCTTCTAAAATATCCGAAAGCGGAAAAACATGGGCTCTGTCGTACTTCCCCATCTCACCACAGGCTGGCACGTAGACCAAGCCATTCTCTCTGACGAAGAGCGTCTCGTCGTCATCCGCTTCGGTCGCGACTGGGACCCGGACTGCATGCGACAGGACGAAATCCTCTTCCGCATCGCCGACCGCGTCAAGAACTTCGCCGTCATCTACGTCTGCGATATCGACCAGGTTCCGGACTTCAACCAAATGTACGAACTCTACGACCCCATGACGATCATGTTCTTTTTCCGCAATAAACATATGATGTGCGATTTTGGAACCGGGAATAATAATAAGTTGAATTGGGTGTTAGATGATAAGCAGGAGCTTATTGACATTATCGAGACAATTTATAAAGGGGCGAAGAAGGGGAGAGGTCTCGTGGTTAGCCCCAAGGATTATTCGACAAGGTATCGTTATTAGGTTTGAAGGGGGAGATTGAGATGGTGCGATAGAGAACGGTTGACGATCAGTCGAGTCGAAGCATATTGGGTCATCTGCAGTGCGTCACAGGTCTTGGAGTTATATATGTCTCTTGGGGTTTATTTATGGAATTATGGCTCTTTTCTGTCTTGTGTTTAAATCGTCTTGGGGACGTTACAGAAAGGGGCTGACTTGTCTTCATGATGTGGTTTCATGAATGTTTACAAGGCAAACTGTAAGAGTCCTTTATATTTTTCTTTCTAGAGATTTGCAGTTTTATATTGACAGCTGCTACAGTGATTACTAATCAGGCTCTATATCTTGGCCATTTGCCTGTCAACTAATCCTCGTAAGTATATGACAAGCGTTAATCCGAAACGAGTGGTTCATACAGTCCTACCAGAAACCCTGTACGTTTGAGGCACAATTACATGCGGAGCTATGACGGCTTATGGGATGAGAACATTCTATAACAGGAAAATGCACTACAACACAACACAAGTTCAAAGGAGACACCCCTGAATGATTTGGACGACTTCTGTGGATTACGGATGTTTTGACATGGAGCTGATTTTTTGGGAATCAGATCCGGAAAACAGTAGTAGAAAGGTGCGGGTGAAATCTCCTACGGGGCTGGCTTGACGCTGTCGGGTGGTGAAAATCATAAGTCTCTTTTACGAAAGAAGTGACTGTGTTGGCAACAAGTCTATGTTGAGGTAATGACGGAATGTGACTAGTCGCCGATCTAGATGAAATTTGATATTCTTCATCTTCGCACAACCCTCTTCTTACCATTCTATTAACTAAAGGTTTTAGAGCACTTCCATCTTTCTACCTGTTTCTAGCAACATAAAGAAATGTTCATATTTGAAATGGTTTTATTAGCCTGGCCAATAGTCTAGTTTATCAAAAACATACCATAAAAATAACCACCTGTTAGAAAATGGGCACGAAAATATGATATCAAAGTATGTGCGTCAAGTAACATAAAATGTCCATGAAATATGTACTTTTCATATATTCACTTATCATTCTGACACCGATGTGGTCTCTCCATGCCGCGATGGTGCCTGCACCGCTCAACTCACGCATTAACTGCTACTTGCAGTCGGCTTCGAAGGCTCGATTCCAGAAATAGGGAAACACTTGTCTAAGAACGTGGCAATGGGGATGTCCACAAGCTTCCTGTCGAAGAGGGAGTTATCAATGTTGTTGCTCTGAGACTTGATAGCTAGTACCATGTCAAAATTTGCGGCAGATACAACTTTTACGCCAGAGGGTAGGGCGTCGCCAGTGGAGCAGAACCCGTTTTCATCTTGATGCAGGGCATAATCAGTTAGATTTTAGCAACATTGACACCCAGAGAGCCTTGAAAAAGAAACTGGAACATACCAAAACCAGCCGTGGCATTGAGATTAATCGTCGGCACGCCAAATGTAAGCCCTGCCTCGATACCTGTATTATCGAGAACTTCTACGCCCAAGGTGAGCGCTATTTGCGGACCGGCCATAATATTCGCAGTGATGGATGCATTATCAAAGTCGAAAATGGGATCAACTTCGACATTATCAAAGCTTGTAACCTTGCTGTTATCGAAATCGACAAGGTCAAGGGAGATCTTAGAGCCATTAGGGAGACTGGACTTGGCTCCAAAGGTGAATATTGCAGTTCCTGACACCTCTGCGTTACCTTGTATACTGAACGCCGCTTTAGCACCCAAGGTGAAAATATTGGGGACAACAATGCCTGCCCCTGGGATGGCAGCCTCAAAAATGGGTTGGTCAAAGTTGAAAATGTCGAGGCCTGGGGCTGTTTGAGAGACTTCTGCTTGCAACTGAATTGTAGCACGCAAGTCTTGTGGTTCGATTTCCAGAAGGAGAGATGATGGTTGGAAGTTCTCAACCTGATAGCGCATATTTAGCAATGGTTATTTCAATTGGATCTGGGAATAAAAGTGTTGTGTACCTTCACAGATCCGGTTGTTGCGAAGCTGGCTTCGGCAAAGCAATCGGTGCAGGAAAGCTTCAAGCGGGGTGGATTTCTGTGAAGCAAATGTCAACCGCACCCTCAGCATGCGACAGGATTAAGGAGTACAACGTACTTCGTAAAATCCTCAAACAGCAGCTTCGTCACTCCTTTCTCTCCCACAGAGAATGGAATAGTGACAGACTCAGAAAGGTCGCCACCTCCAATGCCTTTGATCTTATCAGCCACGTCGTCAAAGCCATCTTTAGTCTTGTCAAGCAAATCTTTAAGACCACGAGCACGCAGAGACCTCATTGTTGAAGGAGGTACATTAATTTTGCCAAAAGACATGTCGAAAGTGCCAGCAACCTCATTCCAGTTAGCCAGAGTGGAATTAAGGAAGACGGTATTATTAGCCTCGTCATTATCGACATCAGTGATACTAAGGAATGGTTTTCTTGATTAATCACGATATACCGATCATATTGTTAGGAGCGAGGAAGACATACCGATAGCTCTGTCGTTCATCAGCCGGACCACACCCATCATGGTTCGCAATCATGAGAAATTGCCTGTCCGTAACTTCATTGATATATGACCATGACTTTATGGCATAATTGAAAGCATCAGTAGATTGAAAAGTAAGAGAGATGCGCCCGTCGTTTCCATCGCAGTCCACCGCAGACGTTAGCCCCTCGAACGCCTCCATCATGACAATAGGCATATTAGGATCCGCATAGAGAGTCATATCCGCAAGTCGGATCGTTTGCTTGTCTAGCAAGAAGCGAAATGAAATGTAACATCAGCATCAAAATAAATTCTCAATCGATCCACCATTTGCAACAACGTAAGAAACCTAGAATATTGACCTCCCACCTTCCCGAAGACCATCCGCACCCTATCAGCGGGATCGATATTCGTGAAACGTGTAGTATCCCGCACCTCGATACTCCCAGTATCTCTTGACGTCAGCACATTGATTGGTTTGTAGATGGAAGAAGCATCATTGCGATCCCCCAGTCCAATACGCGAAGACGAACGTTCAATATGAGCTGCTGCACAACCATATCCCGCAAGAACAGAGGCAACGATAGCAAAGAACGACATATGCATTTTCAAATGTGCCTCAAAAACACATAAATTAAACTCATCAAAAAAATCAAAAAATCAAAAAAAAATCAAAGAATGGGTAGAGAGTGACTGAATGCAAATGAAAGAATGAGGAGAAGCAAAATTCAAGGGCAGCGAATCTATCACATCTTGAATAGGGGTTCAGAGGACCCTGCACACAGCAATGGGGATTACGATAAATATATCAGGGGAACCAGCGTCCATTTCTCATCCCATATTTCTCTCGTAAGAAAGCTGGAGCAAGGAGTGCAGTGCGAAAGGTTAGAATGCTCAAGGCATCAGCCCCTTCGCTTCATCAAGCGATGCATTCATACTCCTCGTCTACCCCTTATCATTGTAAAGAATCCGAACGAACGGTATGCCCGCTACCGTCCCAAACACACAAAAGCTTCTGTCCATTGGAACCTCTGAACTAGATGAGGGGCGAGTAAAGACCTGCAGCAGTCTAAAAAGCTCCCTTGCCCCTATCAGCTCTAACAATCGGCCACTGTGGAGCCAGCATCGAATCATACCTGATCCATGGATTTCGGGATGTAATAAAATAGGGCGGTGTCTGATCCTGGTCGGAACGGGATATGGAAAATCAACACAACGACATCTGGAGTGCTTGGTGGTTAGTTAGTAGTTATGCCCCTAGGCCCCAAGGCTGAAACAGATTGCAGCCGTTTTTTAGCAGAACGTAACAAGCTGAAGCAAGGAGCAAAGGGTTTGTCAATGGCTTCGTATGTTAGAGCTGTCAAGGTGTAAGTTTGTTGGTTATGAATTTGATAGGATGCAACTGAAGTGGAGAGAGCCAACAACCTGTGAGTGCCCTATCGATTTGAAGTGAAGTCTCCTCCTGTGAAGGGATCGCCAACAAAAGCTGATGGTTAGTTAGTTAAAAAGGAGGAGAGACTGACATAGTTAACGGTAAAGTTTCTTGTAACAATTCCCCCGTCACTTCGGATTCGAGACACTGGGCAGCAGACGGAAAATTGGCTTGAAACTGACCAGCAAAAATGGAATTCGAAACAGCGGTTTGGACTTGAAAGTCCTCTCTCTCTCTGTCTTAAATATGCGAAACTGTCGTTGTCGTATCTGCAAATATTTACCATATTTTAGAACCGTTGAAACCGCATCTTTAAATAGCATGTTCCCAATAACTAGAAACATACAGATTCGGTTTTCTGTTGTTTAATCTCTTGCTCTCAGCGCATAAATAACTAACGGAGAAGAGCAACAGAAAAAAGGGCTAGTTTACCTGCTTCAAGCTCTGTAGTTATTATTGTCCATTCAAAAAATAGGGACCAACTACAGTGCTCTGTCATGTACGAAGTCGGTCCACACCTTTCAAGGACATGCACCCATCCCTGTAGCTGGGGGTGGATATAAAGTTCTTTTGCTTCATTATTTCTTAGAAGCGTCCGGTTACAACCAACATCGCCTGCCAGTCTCATCTCAGGAGAACATTAACTATGCTCTCTCCTCAGTCAACTTAATGTTGTTATCTTCTAGGGGAGGGGGGGGCTGGGTTGTCGTATTTACCCTTGATTCAAGCAATACATCATATTTTACGAATCTAACAGACGACATCAAAGAATGCCGCGGAGAAGAAGGGCGATCGCAGGAAGGCATTTTAAGAATGAATAGAGGGGAAATCATCGATAATTAATCTGCTCGAAACCAAGGGTTGGGGGGAGATAAGAGGCTAAATTCAATAGAGCAAAAAGAGGTTGTTCAAATACATTAAATGTAGGAGGTTATTTATGAATGGAATGGGCAACAAGGTCAATCTGAAATTAAGTGTAAAAAGATACAGAGAGATGCAACATTAAAACACGAAAGAAAGAGGCATGAAACTAGACACAAGAGACAAGAAAAGAGGGCGGGAAGGAAAGGAAAAAGAAGGGGAAAGAAGAAGAAGA